CAATGATGGCACTAAGACACGAGGGGCTACTTGATGTGATAGAGAAGGAGAAATAACTTTAGAAGAAACCAGAAACTCAATTCTACACAATAAACAAAACTGTTCAATCAACCAGGGAGTATAATCATTAACATATTTTTGAGAATAACAATGATTTTTAACAGCACAAGTCTTTCAATTTAATTCATGCGGGGGAATGCAGGAGATGGATTCATTCCTTGCATGTAAGTAAATATAACGAAGCCGACTGGAATTCGAACTCAGTTCTCAGATTCTTCAGTTCCAGATGCTATCAATTGTACCACTCGGACATACCTCCAAATTTTGAGCTAACCGTTTTCTCTTACATATCGTCATAATCGGCGCTTATTTCCCCTCTAATATCAATACAACAGCCCCACTCTTTAACACCCCATCTTGAGTGTTTCTTAGGCCGTATACTGGATGAATTATTTAACCAAAAAATTCAAAAGAAATTGTAATATACCAATGATTATTTCAAATAGAAAATTCTGACTTAAATAATAACATACCAGTTCAAAATTGTCATTAGCTATAATAGCATTTAGCCTGTAGTTTTATAAGAAACATACACGCCTAAAATGGAGTTCTGTTGCCATATTTGGACAGGAGCTGCTCAGACCTCACTTTCATCTCTTTATAGAGTTCAAAAGCGTCACTGAGTCCTTTTGAGAGAAGAATTATTTTTCACATTCCAACCTTTCTTTCACAAGGGAGGGATGGCGTGTCTCTTACTGCTCTATCGTTACAACCATGTAAAGTGCTCGTACGAACTGCCTCTCCTGGTTCCATCAGGCCTGACCTTCACGACTTGAACCTGGCATGCCACTTACATATTAGCACGCCACTCACATTCAATCCGTATTCTATCGACGAGAAGTAAGTTCCACTCAAACAGCTTCTTTTGGTGAGACACTTCCCTATGGAACAGACACTCTAGAGGATGTTTCCCCGATAACTACAATTAACCTGTTCAACTTAACCGTTAACTTTCTCTCTTATCCATAGAAACGACTACATATGTTAACTCTCTACCTAAAGTAGCCCCCGGACTTTGTATAGGGTGAACCGTACTAAAAAAAAAAAAAACAGATAAGAAAATATCGTACCCGTAATATATATACTAAATTCGGAGTGTGGCCTTGTCGCATTTTTTTTGTATACCCTCTTCGCATCTGTTAAATATCAAGAGACAAATAAGCACACCATGAAAAAGCAAAAAGCTAAAAAAAAGAACTTCTTATTTTAAGCGCTGTGTATTTTCAGGACATAGGCGATCATGCCCCTCCACACCCTCCTGTTCCTTATAGCTTTTAATAAGTTTTGTCTTTTTGTTATTTCTCCCAAACCCTGTTCTGACATCCATTAACTATGTCACGCGTTGCTTTCCACTGTCCCTCTTTCCGTCTAATCGTCCTGTGAGCATCAGATTTTTCAAGCCGTCCTTCCTCATTACGTCGGTAAAATAAATAAAACAAAAATACGATGAGAAATTATCATTTCATTTATATCAATATCAATTTTACACAACTGAAGTTTATAATATAAGCTATATTCTATTCTTATTTTATTTGTCGTGTCCTCCAGAGTCCATGGCTCTCCACATCTTCCTGCCTTTGTACTCACCAGCCTTCTTTGTTTCTGGTTTGGCATTCATTCAAATAATCTCATTAGGCAAGCTATTCCCTACTCTCCCTACATCAATAAGTCCTCTGAGTGTTATATTTTCCAAGCTCTTTTTCTTCATAATATGTTTCCTAGATATTTCAATTGTCTCTAATTTTAAGTGAGTTCTATTCCCTTTTTCTTTACCATGTTCCCTTTGTTGTATTGTCAGCATTCATTGGTAAAATTACACCTCTGTGATTTCAAGTTTCTTTTTCATGTGCAAGGAAATTCTCCCAACTTCTTTATAGACGATTAGATATATTATTATAGAATTACAGACAAATTCCTAGAGACGATTAGATAATAAAAACGATGTTTTCATTTTATTTTTGATAGCTCGCTTAGCTTGTAGAAAGCAAATTTAACTACTCCGATGGGTCTTCGAATTTCTATATCACACTTTCCGTCGCCTGCTGCTGCATTCACTACCATTTAGGAAGAAAGCGGTACTTCGACGTGGTGTGATGGTTAACAAGCTTATGACTGAGTGGTGAGTTCGATCCTCACTGGACACCCCATACTTTCGCTCTTATGCCATATCTAAGCTACGCTTTGAATATAATTTGGGCACCACGACGTGGTGCAATTGTTAGCATGTTTGTCTCGAACAATTATGACTGGGTAGTGAGTTCGATCTTGACTGGGCGCGCCATGATTTCGGCTTTGTAATATATCTAAGCTACGTTTAGAAAGTTACCATATAAAAGAAGAGATTACCTCCCCAAGAGAATAACATCAAGGAGTCGCCTCCCTGATAAACTGACCATGGTATGGTTTGAAACAGCATCTCATAACAGAAAACAAACGTTCTCGCTAATTAACCACGAGGCCATAACACCACCGCGTCTAAAGTACTGTAGAAATAAATTTAAAAAAATACCTTTTGCTTATATTACTGTCGCTACTACACTACTTTTTCACAGGTCTTCTGAGATTTATTCACTTGGCTGCAAATGACTTTCGACATATATAAAACAGTTTTTTTTTTGCCTGTAGTTCATGTCTGCTTGTGTTATAAACGCTGAATAGGTCTAAATTGCATTGGAGTCTCAATAACGTGAACATCAGGCCTCGACCATTCCTCAATCCTTAAGAACGTCTCTAATTACTTAACATTTATTCCGATGCTACAACTCTCAAACTAAATTTCTGTCTGAAACTCGGAGATGAGGAGTTATCATTTCTTACACTACTTAGAATCCTTAGAAGGTCTAGTATAGAAATAAATGGTGGAAAATGACCGAAATAGCAGCAGCGGCAAGGAAAGGAAAACCTCCGTGAAAGCAGTCAAGCGTGACAAGAGGTATTAGTAGCAAGAAGATTCGGTTTAAGGCTCCAAGTTCTACACCCTGGATTATCCAACGGGTCGATAGCCTAATAGATTAAAGCATTGGTTCAGTAAATCTCTATCTATAAAAGGCAGGATGTGTGTGCGTGTGTAACGAATGCACGGCCGCAATTTTCGACGGATTTGCACCAAAATTTACATGCACATGCTCCAAGTTAGCTGGAAGGCCAAGACTGACTTTGCATTTCCCAACTCCCATAGATAGTGGAAATAATCGATTTTATCATGCTTCAACGGCACTTTTCATGTAGTTTGCGGCCATTTTCTACTGGCCAGAGTGAGAGCCTATAGCTGGCTGCCACGAATAGGCAGGAAGATTCTATTGGCCAGCGTGAGAGCCAACAGCTGACTGACGCGAATGTTAACTAGCATGCAAAAAAAATCGATAGCTGCATTCGTCACAAGTGGGAAAAATTTAAATCTGCATGGCACTTTACTCCAATTGGCTCATTCTCTTGCTTAAACTCAACGTTGATTCTGATTCTGCAGAACTGGGTTGGGTGTGAAAAAGTAATTGTTGTTAACATTCTTTTTTCATTCGGTTTTTCCAGTTACGAGTCCTTTTTTAAAGCTCGTAGTTTTGTGTTCATTTTGTTTAATTCTTTTTTCGTAACAGATTTAATGTTTAGTATAGAGCTTAGAAAAAATTCGCAGTGTGAGATAGGCAAGAAGTAAGACATGTAGCAACATCAGCACGGCAAAGGGCACTCCTTTAAAGGCACGGAAGGGCAAAAATATTTTAAGTCAAGTGATAGCGATTGCTGTATGAGTCGTACGATTTTTGAATCAATCCCGGGCAACACCGGGTCATGCTGCTAGTATGCGATATAGTAATGAGTTCATTTCTTGACTCGGTAGTGTAAACTCGAGGACAAACAGGGCTTGTAATAACTGATCAGGAATAAACAAGAACGAGCTATCACGGGAACAATCACGAGATTATGACGAGAACGTAACGAGAACATTCTATTTCCTAGATTGAATAATGAGTTTATTTCGAAATTCCCCGAAGGCTACACGAAGAAACAGTTATCGGAGGACACTACGACTGAAACTTCGTAATAATGACACCAAGTATAGGGACATTTGTCCTACTTTAAATAATGTAAAAAATAAATAAATAAACGATAATTCCTTATCCCGAACGAAATCATGCCCAAAGTCTGTCCGAAATACGAACAACTATTTCATATATCAGAAGACTGGATGTAATTCATTAACGAGTAATGGAAACCTTATTACGCAGGGGTAAACTGAAATTTCCTGATGAGATTTCCTGTACACTGACACTCGGTGGATAACAGTGTGACCACTAACTAAATAATAATAGAAATTTTAAAAAAACTGTAAAAAGAGGATTTACAGTAGAGCTTCAACGATAGCATCAGCAGCTGAAGTAAAGAGAGGCCTTCATGACGATAACAGTCAAACGTGATGTGAGTTTTAAGGCTTCAAGTTCTATATTAGCTTAGTTGATTAAAATATTGTTTCGTGAATTTGCAGAGATCGCAATAAGTTCAATCGTTAGACCAGAGAGTAATGATTTAACCATAGCGAAGACAGGTTGATCAATATACCATCATTTTTTTTTCTTGTAGAGTTCAAGTAGTATTGTCTGAGAAATGGAACTCTCTACTGTAGGGAGTTACAGTTCTCAGACAACACTAGACCTTGCTACTGGGATAATTTCCATAACCAGTTTTTAACGGATGAAAATGCCCGATCAGTTTATCAACCGATTTGTCTCCAGGTGACTCTCCCATCTATATATTGACCAGGTTCGACCCTGATTAACGCCGGTAATCAAACAAGAATTGGGTGCTTCAGAGGGATTTGCCCGAAAGAAATATCTAAAAAGCACTAAATAAAAACAAGACGAGGTAGACTTAGACATAGTTAGCAAAACACGAAAAATCTATCTTCATAAAGTGTTCAGAGGGTAATTCCCTAAAGGTTACCCTTCTTACGACCACATCACGTTGAAACACCGGCTCCCATACGTTCTTCAAAGGTAAGCAACGTCGAGCATGATCAGTACCTTGATGGGTGACCGCTTGGGAATACCAAGTGATGTAAGCTTGGATATGCGGGTAGTCTAATGGATAATCTCTTGCAATTATTAATCAGAGAGAGGAGATCCATTTCCAGTTGGGTTCCTTCACTTACGTGCAAATACCCTTGGGATCAGTATGAATACGCTTCTCCCCAACTACGGGTTAATTAGTAATACTTGTATTACTAAAACCATTTATTATATAAAAAAATGCGTACAAAATATTTCGGATGTATATAACCCGTTGATACGCCACTAAACAAAAACAATCAACCAAACCAACCCAAAGATTACCTTTTTCGACAGCCTTCTGAAAAAGTCCGGAAGGTACTATAATTCGAAACGTCATGATTACAACAATGAAGATGAGGAAAATAGTGTGTAAGTAAAATAAATAAATAATTTCAGACACAATTTCTGGGAAGGGTTGCAACAACTTGACCTTCAGAACTCAGCTTTCTTTTTACATTTTTTTTTTAACTACGTAATTTCCCTGTAGTTATCAACAACTAATCAATCTGCCGTCACAAGCAACACGTGCGCAACAGTTACTCTCTGTCTGTTGTATTCGATAAGTTGTTTAATGGAGAAACGCCTTTTTATTAAATGGTTTCAGTTTGAATGCGAATCATATCGATTTCATCAATTAAGTCTATTGTCTGCCCTTTTGCAAAGTGTCACAACTACGAGAGAGTTTCTGGCATCTTTGAGCCGTCGAATCCAAACTTATTCGTCTCGTCTTAATGATCAGTTATTGATACGTTGCCGACGAAAAAGGAGGCAACTAATAAAGTAAGCAAGAGCTGTAACGAGGACAGCACGCAGGAATTAGGACATTCAGCGCTTAATAAAAGGCTATTATGTTTTGATTTAAGAAATTTAATATAATACTTTCTTTCTAAAGTAGATTTTGAAAAAGAAATTGCCAACACGTGAAGTTCCAAGCAGCCTCGTTCTGAAAACAAGCTGAGAAAAGTAAACGTATTCTCAAAAACGAAATTCTTTCGGAATCGGCGGAGCACAACAAAAGGGCCAAAAGAAAATTGCCTTTAATAAAGTTTTTATAAATCAGTTTTTTTAAAGCAACGGTATGTTGCGTCTGAACTCTTGCTTCTTATATCTCACATAAAAGAAATCAATTTAATACATACATACATACATACATATATATATATATATATATATATATATATATATATATATGAAGAAATATAGTTTTAAGGTATGGTATATGTATGGGATAAAATGCTCAATATCAGTGATAGAGCGTATGTAAATATTAAAGAAAACTAAAGTCAATACTCAGAGGCGACTGACTGTTTCATGCTAAACGCAATCGGTGGCCTGATGATTGCATTTAGCATAAAAACAGTGTACCGCTTTGAGTGTTGACTTCAATGTTCACTTATATATATATATATATATATATATATATATATATATATATATATATATATATATATATATAATGAATTTTCTGTGTATACGTTATTATTTTTTAATAGATACAATTTAAGTAAATGCTGCGTTTTTAAAATAATTTATTGTTTATAAACAGTAATTTGAACTTTGCTAAACATACGCTTATCTGTAGCTAAGTGGTATAGCAAGTCAGATCAGTTGACCGATCCGTATAGGACACACGTTCGATTCCTGTCAGAGAATGCACATTTTCTACAAGATTTCTCTAACATTCAGGCCAGAAATTGTAATTAATATCAGTCCATTTAAAACACAGTGTATTTACTTAAATTGTATCTATGAAAAATTATAACGTATCAACAGAAAATATATTAAATAACTGCCGGACTTAATCCATTTTATATATTGTCAATGCTAACCAGACGCTTCTCTTTAGCTGAGTGGTATAGCACGTCAGATCAATTGACGCTTCCATATAGGACACATGTTCGATTCCTGTCGGAAAGCGCATATTTTATACGAAATTTCTCGAACATTCAGGCCGGTAAATGTAATTAATATTGTTTATTTAAAAAAAATAGAGCATTTATTTAAATAAATTATAGCTATTAAAAACAATAACATATAAACAGAAAATATATTAAATAATTGTCGGAATTAATTCATTTCATAATATATATATATATATATATATATATATATATATATATATATATATATATATATATGAACAAATCTATTAAGAATACCGTACCACAAAACCGACGCTGGCAGTTGGTAAAAGACGGAGTCCGCAATTGTATAAAATGCAATGTTTTGCATGAGCAAGATATCAGGTTTCCAGTTGTCTGGCAGAAATCATATAATAACACATTTTTATCTGCGAGATGAAAATAATGTGTGAGTTAAAAATAAGATAAATTTGTTAAGTTGAAAATGACAGAAAATTCTACAATGGCTACGTCATCAGAAGGATCCAATAGATAGCGGTGAATAAATTTATTCTTGTAAATTTTGTTTTGTATAAGTATTGAAAAGTGTTACCCTCACACGTCAATATATTATTATTATTATAATCATTTCACCCCAAACAAGACAACAAAGTCACTAAGACGCAGGGGGGGAGGGGGTCCTGAGCGTGAAAGAATATGAGAAAAAGAGAACACTAAAAGAAGAGATATTATTATTATTATTATTATTATTGGTATAATCAACTGTTTTCGTACTGTGTAATTGACATCTGCCAACCTGGTCAATCGAAATTCTTAAAAGCAAAACGAAAATTCAATCCCTGCCTATAGACAGGCAGGGATTGAATTTTCGTCTCCCTTACAATGAGGAAACCTCCTTCAAGCCAGATTTGCTTTGGATTACAGAGCCGTTACAGCCATTCGGGTCTCTTTCTACATAAGAATTCTTTTAGTTTGTCTAATGCTTCAGTCTCTGACGATATTCAGTCACCCTCCACGAGGGTGTCATGTGGCACAAGGCCTTTTTAACGTGAACATTCCGAGCCCGTAGGCTCGGTCAAAAATATGCCCATTGAACCCGTATAAACGGTTTCAGGGCCGGTCTACCTCCCCGAAGGAGACTCCGCCCTTCGGCGTAGCCTCCTTCGGGTTCCTCCCGTCCGTAGGAAGAGAGTACAACCGAACAGTCGGTTCAGAGTTGAATGCTTCAGTCTCTGACAATAACGTATGAAGTAGCACGCCTTCATCCTAGAACGCAACTGCTATCATTTTTCGTGACTGCTAAAATTTGAATATTTATGCGATCAGTGATGATGGATGCTTCCAGGTCATTATTTCAACCTTTATCTCTGTCGTAATGAGATACGCCCTGATCGCATTGGGAATGCCAAAAGTCAAGCAACTACAGAAATTACAACCATCTGGGTCGAGTAGAAATAGACATGGAAATTCGAAGTCACATTGCAATAGCGAAAGTTGTCTAAACTAACAAAGTATTAACAGTTAGAAAAACAAATTAAAAATTAAGCTGACCTCCTATCTAATACCTAATTGCCTCTATGGAAATAGATGCATGAAAAGACCTCTCACAGATGAAGATATGGCTTGAAATGAGAGTGATGCTGTTCTATTGTATAATCCTGAGAAAACCATGAACAGAACATGTAGGAAACGGGTAAGTTTTAATGAGAACGGAAACAACAAGCAAACTCAAACCTACAATCAGAAAGATATGTCCGAAATTGCTGGGGCACTTAATAAGGAAAGCGGGGCTCAGAGAATTTAATACTCACAAGACATATTGAAAGCAAAGAAAAAAAGGGGCAAATAGCAAGTAACTTATTTAAGGGATTTGTGGGGAAAGATAGCAATTTTTGTTAGAATCTTTGGGTACGTTGGTACTAGTGAGCTAGCCAAAATGAGCTGACTCATTTTATAGTCCACTAAGAGAAGGTTTAACCAACCAGAAAGCTCAAAATATTAAATCCGACGTGTATAACGGCAGCCATTTTGTTTTTTCTCCAAAAATATCTTCACTGCCAACCTCTGACACCGAAGACCTTAAGAATTACTGAACAGCTTCTACTTTCTCCGAATATTCACTTCCAACATCTGATATCGAAGACCTGAAGAATTACTGAACAGCTGCTAATTGTGATATTGGCGTTGTTCCATTGAACACATTACGTACTGCACTGGATTCTATATTCAAAGACTATGGCGAATATGGTCAGCAGGGACATGATCACCCATATCCTGGAAGAGGGTTAGTATATGAAAGAAAAAAAATAATATTGGGATCAACTTAAATTGTAAGATTTGAATGTTGAGCTTAAAGGAAGGACGTCCCAACTTGTACGATTGATGGAACACAATATTCATCACATTATTTCTTTCTTTATCCAATATTAGTATGCAAAATAGTTATAATGTACAAAACGTAGTTCAAAAAATACCAGTAAGGCATAAAATATTCTTTTATTTACGAATTCCTACAGTAGAGGTAATTATATTGGAGTATTACTTTCTAATGTTTAAGCTAATGCCTTAAATAAAGAAAAAAATGTTTGAAGGCAGAAAAAAATTAATACGGTGTGTACATAAAGTCTCTTTACAATTAAAAGAAAATAATACAAAAGCACTTGAACGGGTAAATATGTGAAAATTGTTACAAAATGAGGAGTAAATATTGAAGTATTTTTTTAATTAATTTAATACAACTGTATATGGGCATTAATACTTGCACGAAGCACATCAACACGGTACTCGATTTCTTGCCATGTTCGCTGTAGCACAGCCTTATCAATAGTGGCAATGATATCAGTGATCTTTGGCTTTAGATTAGTGATGTCCCATGCCTTTGTTTGATACACAATATCTTTAACATAACCACATAGAAAAAAGTCCAGGGGAGTGATAACTAGTGAACAAGGTGGCAAAGAATGTGGGCTATCCATCCCAATAAACCTTTTTTTTCTTTTTTTTTTAAGCATTTCACCCCAAGCAAGGTGGAAAGCCACTAGGACAAGGGGTTACAGAAAATTTGGAGCAAGATCAGATAGGAGTGATAGAGGAAAGGATAGTAGTGGATAGATCAAGGCAATTGGAGATACAGAGGCCAGTGAGAGAGGG